TAGCTCTAACATGGCTAACGTCCCATCGCAGTAAACCCATTTCCCGCTCTCTTGGAGACCAAGGCTAGCTAGAAGCGACAAACTAATGTCCCTAAACAAGGTTCAAACCCATATTCAACTTAAGGGACCGTGAAATTTAACTTCAGGAGTAAGTGCGATGGTCTGCTTGGTATGCTGATAACGCGGTAGAGTAACGCTAGGCAAATAAAGGAAAGGGCTTTCGACTGTAATATGTTTAAAAAATGGAGTATTTAAACCAACTGCTGTTTTATGTAAAGACGGTACTATCATTTTTGTTTTCTTTTTCTAGGTTGCGAGTTATATCTTCAAAAAATGCTAGATATCAATTTTTCTAATTAATATTGTAAGTGCTACTGTAGCTGGTTAGGATAAATATGAGTAATAAAGGTACCGTTCAGGCTGGTTATCCTATGATTAAATTGTTCCTGTGCAAGGATTCGACAAGGTCGTTCAAGCCAAAATCATTATTGGTTTCGCTACCTCTTGTAAATTTTCATAGTCTATCGTTGAAAATAAACTATTATCACAATCTACTGGCAATAAGGTCTTCGGTTTTGCACGAGGGCCATAGCCTTCGGTTTCAGTTAGGTCATGCAAATCATCATTGTGTAGCAAAGCGGAGGTCCACTATCTGTAGCCAAGTGGCTATTGTGATGCACAGTTCACGCTCACTTTTGTACCTCGTCTAACGGTGTCAGTAATGCATCGTTACCCAAATGGTGCTCTCATCCATACACGGAATAGGAAAGTCCATTCTCCAAAGCTGTAGGTATACTTTACAATTAAGCAAAATGATCACTAGGTTCTCGTTCCGCAAGCTAACGTCCGGGCTAAAGAAGAAAAAAAGCTCGATTTGTCAGACTAGGCGGTTAGAGCTACCGCTAGCATGGTGTACCACGGGTGCAAAGTTGAGTACTGGATAAACATGTAGAATATATATTCATCTACGGCACATTGAATCGTACGAATGTTTTCATGTGTGTATAAAGGTTCTCTGAATGTAGCTTTTTCGACGGAGAGCATGAGTTCCTACTCAGCCCGCCAAGGGGCGCACATGAAAATCAGCAGCAGTATCTATACGGGCCACGTAAACGGAAGGCTGGATGCCACTGAGCAATGCGGCGTGACCGGAGTACGGGGCCAAGCGGCTAGGGCCGCAGCGAGCATTAGAACGCAAGCTGATGTACAGCCGAGAGCTTTGGGCTATATCGTGTTCCTGACTGTGCTTCAGTGTACAGCCACTTCGGTGCAGTAACTTCGCCTTGCTAACGTTCCAACATACGGACTACATGTCGCCTGTACTTTATGATGCTTTTGCCAGCACTTACCACGACTCAGATTACCATCATCTCTATGTAGGTATATTTCGTTTGTGGACCATTTGTAACGAAGATGTTAATGAAGTAAGAGAGAGAATTTTTTAGGAGGAGAAAAAAAATTGAATGGAGAGACTATGAGCAAAATCGGTAGTTAGTCAGAGAGCTCGATTTGTAGGTAACAAGTACTGCATCGAAGAGTGAACAACGCGGTCGGCCTTTACTATTTCCTCGTATGCAGGTTACTGTGGATCTAATTATTTCGAGCTAAGGTTAGCAACATCCGCCTGTTCAGCGCTGAAGTATTGGAGACAGACTGCTCTGTAGCTATAGCAATGAGAAGGTTTTTATCGGCTTCCAATGAACAAAGTTAAAAGTTAATTAGACCTTAGCAGCAAAAGCAATCTGTAATTCTTCTGTAATTTCCGTATAACAGGTCTATTCTTCGAATTAAGCGAACACCGAAACTGTACTTGCGTAGTTATTTAATGATGGCTCGAGAGATTTATCTGCTATTTTATGTTTACAGCCCAATATATTGACGTTTTATATACACTTTGCTATTTCTTTCATTCTACATACACATACTTTATTGTTTTTTGACGTCAACTCCCTGCTTCACTTAATCACCAATAATGTCAAATTTAACCAAGACAAGTCTACTCTGTTTCCTTTTTTGGAATTTCTTACTTAAGAATGACCACCATCGATAGATTGGTATAGAATACCTTGGGACTCCTCTTTTACCTGGGCGCACATACACGTCAGATACACAGTTATCACTAGCGAGCCTACACGCGCCAGTAGTAGCAAAGTCCTTTCCGGAATTTTATTTTTTTTTTTGCCCATTTAGTTGAATACTTAACTAGCAGATGCTCGTTTCCTCTGTTCTCTTGCAGTAGAAATAGTAATAGCACTACCGTACCATGGCATTACGTCAACGTCCATCCAGACAGCCAAGCAGCCTCAGCAACCGAGGACGTATTCTACCCCTTCCCCGCAATAAGGAAGAGGTAAAGTTTAGCGCCCAGATATGGGTCCTAGGGAACTTGGTCAGTCTTGAAGAGCTCCGAGGTGTCATTTTGGAATCTCCTCCATCCGCTACAGAACAGCAGAGCAATCTAGCGTCTGTCGCTCTTCTGATCCTCATTCTCGGTCTCGGTATCTTACTCCCAGCTACCCCCAACTATTTCCCCTTAGCGTCTTTTTTTCTGTTACGCCGTTAGCGGCGTTAGCCTGTTCTCGGTATATTCAAGTAGCAAAAGCCGAAACAGGCGCTTGTCTGCCCTTAGTGCCTGCCGCTGCAATCAAAAGGCAGTACGAAGATGCGCCGCAAGCTTCGCCGCTACCTTTTCTATTCCAGCCGTTGGATATCGTTGAATTTTGCTTGGCTATAATCTGCTTCAAATACCCTACCATATAGTTTCTATTTTACAATATAAAGTAGAATAAAAACCCTCTTGACCTTCTAAGAGCACCGATCACATCTGTATAATGTATACATATAATATATTGTTTGTTACGTGTGTATACAAAATTTACTTATCCAGTGAGTTTTGTTTCATTCTGTATATATGTATGTATATATATATAT